ATGGTAGCACCTGTCATGTCACATCTTTCTCTGAAAAATGTAGTGGTCATTTTTCTTCTAAATATAAACGTGATATATGCTTACTATTGAAAATTTGGAAAATAGAGAAATGGTATGAATAATAAAATAAAGGTTATACCTAGTCCCCCCAAACTAGTAATAACTATTTTCAGGATTTTTGAGCTTGTATTTAGCCTTTTTTCTCTAAACATGTGAATAGCTAATGTCACCTGTACCCTAGATGTCCCCAGGCCCCACCAGTGGGGTATAATGGTGGCCAGGTCAACCTTACAGAGGGCCCTCTCTCCTCTGTCCTGCTGGTTGGCATCTTGGCCTCCTCTGAGGCCTTTCCAACTCTGAGAGTCACATTTGAGCTCTCAGCCACACCCTTTGTCCTCCTTGGGGATGTCCCTGCCCGACGTCTCCCGAGGGTGGACTTGTTACTGTCCCTACCATGGAGCCTGCAGGGAGGATCAAGCCTCCTGCAGCCCCCCCAACCCCCTCAATGATGCCTGAGTGGCAAGTCTGGGAGGCAGCAGAGAGCCCGAATCTGCATCACCCTGGCTGGGAGCAGGGAGAATGTTCTTCCCCAGGACTGTGCTGGCTGCACTTAATCACCCAGGTCTTGAGGCAGCTGTGACTGTGCCCTGGGTCTCCCCATGTTCCACGTGAAAATGCCTGTTAGCTTGGCTAGCAGCTTTCTCTCTGGAGGATATCTTTGGCCTATCACCTAATATCTCCCTTTTCTGAGAAGTGCACTCCTTCTCTACCTATGAACTTCCAGTGGGGGCTAGCTACCAACCACCTCTCAGCCTCGGCTGCAGGTTTGGGATAGGGCTCTGGTTGGGTATATGATACAGTCCTTCTGTGGGATTTTCTGAGTTGAAAATAATAGAACAGTCCCTCTTGGGTGGCAAAGCTCTGAGATGGAGGCCAGGAGCTGCCTCCTATAGCAGTGAGAAGAAAGTCATGGGAGAGCATTTTGGAGAAGATTTGCATCTGGACCCAGCAGTGCCTATAGCCAGCTGCACCCCTGCTCACTGGTCAGTTTAGTACCGTGAGTCAAAAAGTCCCGCTCATCTGACAAGCTGGTGCTGGACTCACAAGTAGTGAGTCTTAAGGAAACAGGAATAGGTTGGTCCCAACCTTGGGTGGGGTGGGAGACAGACACCACTGTCCTGTGTTTTCCTCCATCCCTCACCCCTGGACCCTGGAGCATGAAGTATGAGAAGGTGGGTGTGTGCTCCCAAACTTTTAGTTCAGGCCCTACCAGATCCCAGAACCCAGTTTAGGCTCAGCTGGGACTTAACCAATATGTCTGAACAACCACAGAATCATTTGCTGGCTCCCACTGTAAGGCCCGCAGTTCTTACCCCCTCACCTGTGGGCTCTGACGCGTAGAGGCTGGCCACTCCCTAATTGCGTGGCCTTGGACGAGTTTTCTCATTTCTCCAATGAGGATGCTACAAGCATCTACGTCAGGGGGTAGTTGGGAGAATTAAATGAACTAATCTATAAAAAGAGTTTGCTGTTCTTGCCATTTTTCTTTTTTTTTTGGAGACAGTCTCACTTTGTCGCCCTCGGTGGAGTTCTAGTGTCTTAGCTCACAGCAACCTCAAACTCTTGGGTTCAAGCAATCCTCTTGCCTTAGCCTCCCAAGTAGCTGGGATTACAGGTGCCTGCCCGATGCAGCTATTTTTTGTTGTAATTGTTGTTATTGTTGTTTAGCAGGCCCTGGGCTGGGTTTGAACCCACCAGACTTGGTGTATGTGGCTGGCGCCCTAATCACTGAGCTACGGGTGCCAAGTCTCCGTTTTTATTTTCTATTCTGTTTTTATTTTTTTGAGCCAGGGTTTCTCTCGGTAGCAATGGCTAGAGCATAGTGGCATCAGCCTAACTCACTGAAGCCTCAAAATTCTGGGCTCACAGGCTATTCTGCCTCAGCCTCCTGAGTAGCTTAGACTAAAAGTATGCACCACTGCACCCATCTAGTTTTTCTATATTTTGTAGAGGTGGGGTCTCACTCTTGCTCAGGCTGGTCTCAAGTTATCCTCCCACCTTAGCCTTCACAAGGTCTAGGTTTACAGGTGTGAGCCACCACACCAGTCCCTGTTCTTGCCTTATGCTGTGATTGTTCATGCTGGTCAGCTTAGTGCTTTGCACAGGGGAGGCACCAAGTGGGAGCTTTGTACGTGTGTGTCCAGTGAAAGAAGGGATGGACACAGTTCCTGGTGCGCATGTCCCTTGCCAGAGGGACAAAGACTCTCTTGCTCTAGCATGCACACGCACACACAGAAGCACTCAGATTGCTCTGCCTTGTGCAGTGGCATCCCCACCCCTGACTTCTCTGGAGAGCAGCCTGCAGCTCTCCAAGGCTCCGAGCTGTCACCCCAGTTCCACATTGCTGGGAGTGCAGCATGGAGCCTGGCTCAGCCCTATACTGCTGTGCTAAGGCAGCAGGACCTGCTGTGTCCTAGGAGCTTGGAAAGTATGCGTAGGGAGCTGGTTAACCTGGGAGGACCAGGGGCTTGCTGGAGCTCATTTCCAGAGCTTCTGCTCTCTGAAAGCTACCCCCTCATCACTCCCAGGGGCTCATGGTCTCCTTTAATTCTCCTGCTTCTCCAAGCAGCACCCTCAAGTCCTGTCCTGTGGTTCTTGTGGGGTCCTGCTTGGTCTTTTCACTGGAGGTAGAGGGGGCGTGTCTGTGGGTGGGAGTTGGATTCCTGGCCTGCCTGACCCTATCCCTTTCAGAGGACCCCCCCACCGGGGCAACCCATCCACTCACTGCTGGAGCAGGTGTTTCCCTTGTGCTTCGCACGCATGCATGGAGCTTTAGTCTCTGAATGTTCTGGGCTGGCGTGTTGCCTGCTGTGCTAGTGGCCCCAGGCTCATGAGTGGGGTGAGGATACTGCTTAGAGCATTGTGTGTTGAAGACAGTGCCTTTGGCTGGGTATGACCCTGGTGGTACAGCATTACTGCTGTGCAGTGGGAATGTCTTAGTGTGCCATGTTGGTTGCCAGTGGGCTGTGTTTGGGGCTGCTGCATAATATACACAGGGCATTAACCCTTTGTGTGACTGCTCAAGTCCCTGGGCCCAGAACAGATAAGGTGGGGGCAGGGCACCTTTCTTTTGGGTGCTCCCAGAGACCTCCATCCCCAGCTCTTGGTTTCACTAGATCCTGATATGCTTGAGTCTCCTGGTGCAGCTGAAGCTCAGGACACCTGGCAGAGGGGAAGAGAACACTATCGTGGCGTCCTGCTGAGTTCAGAGCTCTTATTGCGCCCCCCACCCCCCACAGTCCTTTGCCATAGGGATCCTAGGCATGGGTGGGGAATTCCCAAACCCCTCAGCTGGTCCCTTTCTGTGTCCAGCTCCCAACAAAGGCGGCCAACCACATGCCCTTCCTCGACGAGGGCTAGACTGGACACGCACGCGGCCTCGCACCCGGGCTTGGGCTAGGGCTGGATCCCGACCACGCCGCGCAGCTCCCCAGGTGGGCGCGGAGCGGCCCCCAGCAGTCTCGCCGCCCCGGGCTGTGCCTCGCCCACTCCCAGGCGCAACCGCTGCAGCGCCGTGGAAGCAGCGCTAGGGGGAGCTCGGGCAACTAGCTTGGTGGATTGAATCAAAACCCAGCATCAACAGCTATTTCCTTGGACTTGCAGGGGAAAATGGGGAGGGAGGAGACGCTCTGTTCCCCCTCCTCAGCAGCTCCAGACTCTTCCCGTGGGAGGCCAAGAAAACAGTCTTGGGGGGTGAAGGTGCCTTTCCTCCCCGTAACTCATGCCTCCAGAGCCTCCTTCTTCCCTATCGTGGACCTTCGTGGCCCCCCACGTTCTGCATAATATCCCTGAGAACTTCGCCTCGCGCGACACCAGGATCCAGAGTCGAGCAGTCCCCTGAGATTGGCTTGCATCCGCCTCTCGGAGTCTGGCTTTGGGGCCTCTGGGCGATAGCCCCTCCTCTCTCTGCGGGAGGCGCGAAGGCTGGGGTGGGGGTGTGTGAGCTGTCCTGCGGGGTGACTGGGAGGCTAGGGCAGAAAAGGGGATTATGGGGGCGAGAGAGCTAAGCAAGAGCCAGACAGCTTTGGGGAGGCAGCCAGAGACGGAGACACCGAGAGAGACGCTATCAAACAGCAAGCAAGCTGCTACTTTGCTTTATTTTTTTCGTTCGTTCTTTCCTAACCCCTCTTTGCAAAGCTGGAGCCACCCCGCGCGCCCCCAGGCCGGCGCCACGGCTGCAGATGTGAATTTGGTTCCTGTGGGGAGAACGCAAGCTTCCCCCGGGCCTTGGCACATTCTCCCACTCTGAGGTCATTCCGTAGGTGGTCAGAAGGGAGAGCGCGCCTGGAGCCTTCCTGCCTCCATCCACTGGGGAGGGGAGGGAAGAGAAGCGGGCGGGAGGGAGAGGAGAGGGAGAGGGGAGGAGCGCGAGGAGGGAGGGAGAGAGACGCAGCCGCCAGCACACCACCAAGTGGCACCGAGCAGTGATAACAAACTCAACTTAAAAAAAAAAAAGGAAAAAAAGAAAAGGAAAAAAACTTCCCCAAGTTGCAGCCGGAGACGTGCGGACGTGCGGGCGGAGACGCAGGCCAGGGAGTGTGGGTGGCCCTTAAGTCCCCCAGCGTTCTCCAGCTGCTCTCCCTGGCCAGAGAGCTCAGACTTGAGGCTGACCAGGCCCTGTGCCTCTGGACGAGCAGGAAATGTGCTGCAGGCTGGTTCGGATTCCTGCTCAGACCCCGTGGGCGGCCGGTTCCCATGGGGGGGTAGGACCCCCTGAATAGGGGGGCCCTAGGGGCGTGCAGTAGGGATTCATACCCAGTAACCAACATCACTCTCCCTTCCCTCTCCCAGCCCCCTGGCCCTGAGGATGTGGACAGATCCCGCCCACCCAGGCCCAAGAGAGCTGGGATTTACTTGGGGGAGGGAATCTCTCCCCACGTCCCTCTATTCCTCCCCACTGTCCCTAGGCCGATCTAAAATCAAGGCACCTTCATCCTTTATAATCGACTTTTTATTAAGATTATAAATTTAAACAAATAATCTGAACAGTTTTACCCGGTGATATACAATTCAGTATGCACAAAAATACAGGGGAAATGAGGAAGAAGGGCCGAAAAGGGAAGGTTGGCAACTTGTTTTGGAGTCCACATGGTGCTGATGGCAGAGAACCAGAGGGGCTGCAGACAAACCCCACCTTTTTACAACAAAAGGCTTTTAAATTAAACAAAATCTATAGAGCTGAAGACACAGACGGGGTTCTCACAGGCTCGAACAATGCTGGTTTCATGAAATGCAACCAAAGGCTGGATGAGGGCAGTGCAATTTAGAAGCACACACAAACACCACAGCTGACCAGGAACTTAGTGAAAAGTCTCCAACGCAGTCGGCGGTCCCGGCCCCTCCCTCCCCGGGGGCCTCCGGGGATCCAGGTGAAGGAATCGACTTCCTTTTTTGTTTAGTGAGGACCGCAGTGCTGGGCATGATGGGAAATGTAGTCCGTCGTGCCCGCCCCCCACCCTTTCCCCAAACAGTGTCCGAAGAGTGTCGGGGTGTCAGGCGCGACCCGCGAGTCCGGGAGACGGATGGAGGAGGGGAGAACGGAGTCAAAGGGGCGGAGAGAAGAGGGGTTCAAGACACCCGCCCCGGGAAGAAAAAAAAAAAAAGTTGAAGTGTTTTCATTTCTGCCTTCTCATTTTGAGAACTTTGGAGTCCGCCCCCAGAGAGGAAATGTGACCCAAACGTCCCTTTCGGAGATAGAGTTTGCCTTTGTTTTTGCTCAGGATTTCACAAGACCCATTCCTCACCCCACGGAGGGACTCGAGAGAGCGGAACGTCGAGCTTCCCGGGTCTGACAACTGATTGGAATCTGCGTCCCGGGCCCTGCGCCCTCCAGCGCTGCGCCCCCGGCGCGCCCCGGCGGCCCGGGCGCCCTGCCTCGCCCCCGGCTGCCCGGCACCTCCTCTGGGCAGCAGCCCTCCCTCACGTGGCAGTCTCCTCGCTAAACACCACTGCAATCACTACAATAAAAAGAAAAAAAAAAAGAGTAGGAGAAACACAAAGCATACTTAAATAGGCGCTTTTTCTCTCTGCAAAAATAAAGTCCAAGATTTTAGATTTCTTTTTTTATTTTACAATTTATAAAACATCAGCCTCCCTCTGTTTGCCCCTAGCTCAGCCCCGAGTGGCCTGGCGCCCGCTAGCTCCCTCCTCTAGCCCCTTGGCCAAGTCTTTGTCTGGCCCCAGCCCCGCGGGGCCCCGGGTCCTTGTGCCCTCGGGGGTCCCTAGAAGGCGACAATGGCTCGAGTCCAGGCGCCGAGGCTGGCGAGCGCCTGCTTGGCGCACAGCTGCCCGTTGAGCGGCGGTGGCTGTTCCGAGGAGTCCGGCTGTCGGCTCACCAGCCCGGAGAACCCCGAGCCAAAGATGGAGATCAAGTTTGAGATGTTGGACGCGTCCGGGGACGAGTCTGGGCAGAAGTCCTCGAAACGGGCGCGCTTGCAGGGGGCAAACGGGGCGGCCCCGGGGGGTTCAGCCCCCAGGTCGCCTGCGTCCTCCTCGTCTTCATCCTCCTCCTCCTGGCCAGGGTAATATTTGCGCTTGCAGCCAGTGGTGGACGCCAGGCCCGGTCCCGGAGCGCCTTGGCCACAACAGGGGCAGTGGGCGGAGGCGCAGCAGTCCTGGTGCAAGTAGCCGTTCTCCACCGTAGTCACCACGTGAGTGTCCAGGTCCAGCACGGTGGTCTGGCTGCTGCAGTGCACGCCGAAGTCCGAGGGGGCCGGGTACGCGTTCCGGTAGAAGCCGGGGGAGGAGGCGGGGGCCGGGGAGGCGGGCGGAGAGGCGGCGGCGGCGGCCGG